AAACATTGCCAGTCCTCTGAACAACAGAACCAAACGCTGCCAGCCCTGTGCCACCATCACAATTATTGTCATGCTTGGCTGTTGTTACCACTGCATCAATCCATTCCACTGGGCGTCTTCCTTGTTTTTACTGACCCTCCACTTTACCAAACACAGTGTTTTTCTTCAGGGACTGATCCTTCCTGACAACATGAACAAGAGATGTAGTCTCCCCCTTGTCCTATCCAAGGAACCATCCAGCCACACTTCTTTCAAAACAGAGTTGTTCATTCTTCTGGCAGCCCGTGGTATAGTCTTTATTCTTTGCCAACATTATAATTCAAATGCATCAGTTCTTCTTCTCTGGTTTCACTTCTTCATTGTCCAACTTTCACATGCAGTGAGGCTATTGAAAATACCATGGCTTGGGTCAGGCATACCTTAGTCCTCAGAGTGACAGCTTTGCTTTTTCACACTCTGAAGAGGTCTTTTGCAGTAGTTTTGCCCAGTGCAGTATGTTGTCTGAATTCTTGACTGCTGCTTCTGTGTGTGTTGATTGTGGATCCAAGCAAAAGGAAGTCTTTGACAGCTTCCATCTTTTTCCTGTTAATCATGATGTTATGAAGATTTCTGTTTTCTGTACATGGAGGTGCAATCCATACTGAAGGCTGTATTCTTGATTTTCATCAAGTACTTCAGTGTTCTTTGGTTCTAGCGAACAAGGTTGTGTCATCTGCATGTCTCAGGTTGTTGATGAGTCTTCTTTCAATCTTGATGGATTATTTGCTCAGCATACAGATCGACTAAATATGGTGAAAGAATACAACCCTGGTGCACATCTTTTTTTTATTTTAAATCATTCAGTATCCCCTTTGTTCTGTTCACATGATTGCCTCGTGGTCTATGTACAGCTTCCTCATGAGCATAATTAATTGGACCGAAAATCTCATTCTTCTCAATGTTATCCATACTTTGTTATGATCCACACAGTCAAATGCCCTCACTTTTGATTTGTGTCCCCGAAGGTCACTCATTCCTGCTTAGCAATGAACATACCAACAAATCCAGCTGCTTCTCAGTATTCATTAGGTTCTATGTCACTGCCAATAGTGAGGTATCAAAAATGGAGTCAACCCTGTTTGACCTCAGATGCCAGTGTATGCTTTTTTGTTGTTGTTGTTAAGTGCCACCGAATTAGTTCTGACTTATAGAGACCCTGTATAGGGTTTCCGAGGAGCAGCTGGTGGGTTTGAACTGCAGACCTTGTGGTTCACAATCCAGTGCTGATCCTACAACACCACACCAGAAACCCATTGTGTGTGTAGGTGACTTAAACTTTATGCAGCCCTGACCATGTCCACAAATGACCGAGAGACCTTTATAGTATTGATTTTTGGGGATTTCACTGTCATCAAGAAGAAAAGGCCAGGGATTGAACGAGTCCTTAAACTCTGAGCTCCCTGTGTGTGGAACCTCACCACCACTCACCTGTCAGTTTGTCATACTGTGGTGGCTTGTGTGTTGCTATGGTGCTAGAATCTATGTTTCTGGTGTTTAAATAGAAGCAGGCTCACCCATGATGGACAGGTTTCAGCAGAGCTTCCAGACTAAGACAGACTAGGAAGAAGAAGAGGCAATTCACGTCTGAATAATTAGCCACCGAAAACCTTATGAATAACTTTGAAACATTATCAGATATAGTGCCAAAAGATGAACCTCTCAGGTTGAAAAGCACTCAAAATATGATTGGGGAAGAGCTGCCTCCTCGAAGTAGATTTGACATAGTGACATGAATGGAGCAGAACTTTCAGGCCCTTTATTTATTGATGAGACACAACTAAAAATGAGAAGAAGCAACTGCAAAGATACCGTAAAAATTAGAATATGGGGAATGCACAAAAAATGAACCTAGTAAAATTGGAAGCTATCAAAAATGAAATAGAATGCATAAAGATTGATATCCCAGGCATTAATGAGATGAAATGGACTGGTACTCCAATTCTGAATGAGCTAATCATGTGGTAGAAGCAGCATGTTTAAGAGGAATGGCATCACGTATTCATTGTCAAAAAGAACCTTTCAATCTCATTCTTGAAGTACAGTGCTATCTGATAGGTTAATACCCATCTACCTACAAGGAATGTCAGAGTCCTGATATGATGCTTTAGGGTAAACATTGGACTGCTAACTGCAAGATGGATGGTGCAAACCCACCTGATTACCCTTGGGAACCCTGTACAGGGTTGTTGTGAGATGGAGCCAACTCAGTGATGGCACTCAGCCAACAAGAAGGAAGATCACTTACTACCACTATTGTTCAAATGTACAGCTCAACCACTAAAACCAGTGATGATAAAATTAAAGATCTCTATCAACATATTCAGTCTGAAATTGATCAAACATGCAATCAAGATGCATGGATAATTACTGGTAACTGGAATGTGAAACTTGGAAAGCAAGAGAAAGGATTCTTGTTGTTGGTAAGTGCCATCAAGTCAGTTTGGATTCATAGTGACTGTGCGTAGGGTTTCCAAGGCTGTAAATCTTTTCAGGAGCAGAAAGCCTCATCTTTTTCCCACTGATCTTGTGGTTAGCAGCCCAGTGCTTATGCTATAGAGCCACAGTGATTGGTGGTTGGAAAATATAGCTTTGGTGATAGAAATGATGTTGGAGATCACATGATATAATTTTGTCAGACCAATGACTTTTTCATTGCAAATCCCTTTTTTCAACAACAGAAAAGGTGACTGACTATACATGTGATACTCACCAGGTGGAATACACAGGAATCAAATTGACTACCTCTGTGAGAAAAGACAGTGGAGAAGCTCAGTATTATCAGCCAAAACAAGGCTAGGGGCTGATTGTGGAACAGATCATCAATTGTACAAGTTCAGGCTGAAACAGAAAAGATTTTAAATGTTAGTGAGAGCCAGAATATGATCTTGAATATATCCAACCTGAATTTAGAGACCATCTTAACATTCAAACATTAATTACTGAAGACCAGAAGAGTTGTGGGATGCCATCTCGAGAACATTATTCATGGAGAAAGTATAATAAGGTCCTTCAAAGACAGGAAAGACAAAAAAGATAAAATCTATGCCAGAAAAGACTCTGAAACTTGTTCTTGAGTGTAGAGAAGCTAAAGTGAATGGAAGAAATGAGGAGGCAAAAGAATTGAACATAAAGTTTCAAAGGGCAGCTTGAGAAGACAAAGTCATGTATTATAATAAAATGTGCAAATATCTGAAGTTAGAAAACTGAAAAGGAAGAACACACTCAGCATTTTTCAAGCTGAAAGAACTGAAAAGAAAATTCAACCCTCAATGTGCAACATTGAAACATTCTGTGGGCAAAATACTGAATGATGTACAAAGCACCCAAACAAGATGGAAGAAGTACACAGAATCACTTTGCCAAAAATAGATGGCCGATAGTCAGCATTTCAAGAGATAACATATGATCCAGAAGCAATGACACTTACGGAAGAAGCCCAAGCTGAACTCAAGGCATTGGTGAAAAACATGGCTCAGGAATTGATCGACTGCAAATTACAATATTTCAACACACTGATGCACTGAAAGCATTCACACATCTATACTAAGAAACTTGGAAGACAGCTACCTGGCCAACCCATTGAAAGGATTCCATATTTGTGCCCATTCCAAAGAGAGGTGACCCAAAAGAATGCAGAAATCATTGAACAATATCATAAATAGCACATGCAAGTAAAATTTTGCCAAAATTCGGCATGACTTCCAGAATCACAGTAACACGCAAGCCTCATAGTAGGACAAACTGACAGATGAGTGGTGGAGAAGTGAGTGGTGGCGTACAATGCAGTGGTTGCTGGAGCTGCAGTAGCAGAAGGAAGAAATGAAAATAAATACAAATTCCCAGGCCCCACTTGAGACCTTCTGAATCACGGACAATGATCTGTATGTTAGCATGTTCTCAGGGGACCCCTGTGCTCCTTAAATCAGAGAATGCTGATGTGGAGTTTATCATGTTTATCATGTTATTCACTGCTTATTCCTTAGAAGTGATGGAGGGCCAGTAACACGGAGCTGATGGTGTTGAACAGATTGAGGCCAGACATCTAGAACAGGTTCTGCCCTATATGTTAAGTTATTCCACCTTGAACGTGAACAGCCAAACCCACTGCTTCTGAGTTCATTCCAGAGCATAGTTACCCCATATAGGGTTCCTGAGACTGAAGTTGTGTGGAGGCAGTCTCATCATTCTTTCTCGGAGTGGCTGGTGGGTTTGAACCACTGACAGTGAGGTTTGCAACCCAGCACTTAACCCACAGCACCACCAGGCTCCTTTTGAAAGTGACAGAGGACATGATGACAAGATGAGCCTGTCCAGAGTCAGACCTGGGGCCTCATCTGTGCATCTGTGAATAACTCACTAACTGGAAGAAGAAGGGTGGTTTTGTTGTCTCTTGGGAGGGAAATACCCATTTTAACGTCTGTTGAACACATTTTGGCCCTGTTCATTTAGCTCACACTGAGGGGGTTGGATGGAATGGTTCTTTAGCCAGCTGGCCTTGCTTCTCATTTCAGGTGTCACCAGATGGACGACTTTGGGCCCGCCAAGAACCTCATGACCATGTGTTTCACCTACTATCACATTGGTAAGACGCTTAGTTGTGTGGAGGTGCAGCTTGGAAACCTGAGACTTAACAACTTACAGTGTGGAGTCAACTAAAGCTTCCCTCTCAACTAAAGGCAATCAATACCTGTGGAGTTTCCTGAGACACAGAGTAGATAGAAATTAGGGAGGGCAGGAGCAAAGAGCCAAGCCTCTACAATGGGAGGAGACGACATGGTCCATCTGTGGGCTGAAAAGTTGACTTTCCACGGGACAAAGAAAATCACCAAGCTTAGGAAATGTGCGAATCAGCCCCTTACGGAGGACCTTTCATGGTAGAGGTGGGACTTGCTGGATGTCAGGATACCAGTTGCATGTTTTAGGCATGGACAGTCCACAGGGACTGTGGAGGTCACATGAGAGGAGCAATATAGTGTCTTCGGCTGGGAAGAGTTCCTAGGATTGTGCTGACGAAGCCCTTGCTAACACCTCAGGGTCATCTTTATGCTGAGGCTGTGAGATTGCTCTGGCTCCTCCTCAGAACCTTATGGTGCATTGGAGCTTGAGGACTCCATGTTAAGCTCTTGGGCCCCTCTAGGCCACCAGGCTAGAAAGTTGTGAGCCTGTTCAGGGACCAGAGCTGGGAGGGGCCATGCTGAGCTCCTGCTTCCCTTCCTCCCTTTCATGGCCCATGTGCCTCTTGTCTCCCTACCAGCAGCCCTTCTTCTCCACACCCTCAACTCTGCAGGCCACCTGACTGCTTGAGCCCCTGGCTATACCACCATCAGGCAGGCCTTTCTTGTGCATCACTCCTAGGCTGCCTTGGACCAAGGGGAAGCCCCTCGTATGAATTGTGGCTCCTCCTCAGAGAACCAATAACTGCGTACTGAAGAAGGGTGTGTGTGCAAATCAGCTTCAACCAGTAGAAGAGATTTGTCACCTAGACTCACATAGGGCATCTTGACCCCTTGAAGGTACTTGGTCCTTAGGTCCGGTACTCTGACTCAGTAATGCTATAGGACCTAGTAGATCTGCTTCGTAGCGTTTCCAAGGCTGTCATCCTCCTGGAAGCAGACTGTCTTATCTTTCTCCTGTGGAGTGGAATGGCTGGTGGCTTCAAACCACTGAGCTGTCAGTTAGCAGTTAGAGTATTTACCCATGGCACCACCCTGGTTCCTGTAGGTCACATACAGTGCCCTAAGAAAGGGACATTCCTGTGCTGCCTCCTCCTGCCCAGAATCTGTCCACCTTCACAGTCCACATGTTTGCCAGCCATCTTCCCAGCACAGGGAAGGAGCCTCTTGCTCCTCTCTCCCTATGGCCCCCAGTTCATGACCGAGCACTCCTGCCTTTGTGCTTTAGCTGCCTGGGCACAGGTCGCCTTCCCCATGTTTCTCGAGGGCTGGATCCTTGCCTGTTGCTTCTTTCCTCCCTCCTCTTCTTTGTATACAGTAGGTACTCAGTGATGGCTTTTAGCAAAGGCTGAAGCCCGAGCCCTCATTCATTTCATATGCAGCCATTGAGTCTTTTGCTTCTTGCTGTCTTGTTTAGTGGAATCTAGGAAGGAGATTTTCCTATTACCCCAAAGCAGCTTTGTCACACTAACAAGCATTCCCATTATCCCATCTGTTGTTTCTTTTATGCAAACACACTACCCTTTCTCTCAAGGTAAGCCACACCTGCTCCCTGCCGAGTCCAAGGAGAAGCCAGCCGGGAGCATCGACTCCTACCTGAAATCTGCCAACAGCTGGCTGGCAGAGAAGAAGGACATTGCAGAGCGACTCCTGAAGAACACCTCAGTGAAGACGGAGAACATGAAGGGCTTCTTTGGGGGGCTGGAAACCAAGCTGAAGGGACCCATGGTGAAGAGAACCGAGTAAGTGGTACCTGTGTCTGTCTCTGACTTACGGTTGGAAATGTCATTGCCATGACACATGGAGAGAAGTCAGATGAAACCCATGTATAGTAAGTGACAGGAGAACTAGTGGAGTGAGGGAGAGAGTCTGTTCCCCTTTGTCACCCACACAGGGTAAATGACAAGGAGAGCGTAGAGTGGGGTAGACAGTCTGTCCCCCTTTGTCACCCACACATAGTAAATGACAAGGAAGGGAGAGAGTCTGTCCCCCTTTGTAACCCACACAGGGTGAATGACAAGGAGAGTTTGGAGTGGGGTAGAGACTCTGTCCCCCTTTGTAGTCTATGGGGATCTAGAGCCATTCACAAGTGACACAGCCACCAGCCCTGCTTGCCTGTTTGCCCCCCCAGAGTCCTCTCTGGATTCAGGATGCCTGTTCTGTATGGTAATGGGCAGGGATGTTCCCTGTGGTGCTTGTGTTTTTCTTGGACTGATATTAGAGGAGCATATGGAAACTGTCAGTTGCTGGAAGGAAATCACAAACCTCTGTCCACTTTCCGCCTCCATTCTGAGGTGGGAGCTAGTGTTATTGGAATCAAGAAATGGGAGGGAGTCTCTGTTCCCCAGAAGGGCAGCTTTGGACAGAAATTTAGGGAACCTCTTTGGGTGGATATATAGAAGCCAAACCTTTCCCAAAGAAAGGGAGAGGTGTCAGCAGGACAAGGCCCTGGGCCTCTCGGAGTCCTGTCCCTGAAGCTGAATGACTTGACTATGTCTCCTCTGGGCTGCACAGTTTGGGTTCAGAGCAAATGGCATAAAGAAGCCCAACTGTCTTTAAACCTGCTGCTGAGTGAGAGCAGCCAGATATGTGACGACACTTCTGTGAAGTTTCCACAATAGGCATACCTGTAGAGGCCAGTGGCACCCAGCGGCATGGAAGACGTTTGCACAGCATGGTCAGTGTCATGCACGCCACTGATGTGTACACGTAACAAAGATCAAAATGCTTACAAGAAAGAAAAACAAGCCCAAACACCACATCTTCTCAAATTCTACACTCTGGCAGTTGGCAGATGTCACATTGATCTGATACAGATTTTTTCTGGGAAAACCATGTTAAATGTACATACGGCCCATAAGACACAATCCCATCTCAGAAATATAAATAGCTCTCTTGAACTTGAGAAAATGTAGTTTGAGCTCATTGGTGAGGGTCAGACTTGTCAGCATTGTGGTTTCTTTTCCTCAGGGAAGATGACAACAAACCCAAAGAGAGACAGCAAAAGGCAGGTAAGTGTGAAGTCCTCTGCTGGCTCCCCCCAGTCAGTCAGCATGTGCCATTGAGATTCCTCTCCTCCCTGGGGCATGAGGAGGCTGCGGGAAGTGCTTCCTGAGTTCCCTGCTACTCCACTGGTCTGTGTTCTCTTCCACTTCTCTAATCCTGTGTTACTGGGGTCCTTCCCGTCTTTGGAAGAAGCCTCTATTGGATGATCAGTGAGCAGCGCCATGTCTATTTGTGAGGCAGAGGCTGCTTGGCATTTTAGTGACATGTTTTTATGACATTAGTTTTGATTTGTGGAAGAAGAAATCACTGCCAGGTGGCTGTGGTCATAGGTACATGTCAGAGCCTCCCTCAGTCTTTCTCCTTCCTCTCACAGTGACTGTGTGTAGCCCAGAGGAGGAAAAGAAAGGGGAGAAGATCTACCTGTACACACACCTGAAGCAGCAGCCCATTTGGTAAGCCTGTCCTGTCCTGTCCTGTCCTGTCCTGTCCTGTCCTGTAGGGCAGCAACCATGTCCCCTCGGGATCACTTCCTAGCTTTTCGATTTCCATGAAAATGAAGGTTATTCACACCCACTTGTGTGCTGTCTAGGTTCCTACTCATCATTAACATTGCACAGGGTGGGGTTTGAAGAGTAATTTCTAATAGAAGTTCTTTGGAGTTTTGAGAATGTTCTGGAATTAGACAGTGGTGAGGATCCTACAACATTGTGAATGTACTGAAAACCACTGAATTCCACATTTTAAAAGAGTAGTTTTATAGTATGTGACCTCAGGTTATGTAACTCAGTAGTGTGGATTGAATTGTGTCTCCCCAAAATACCTGTTGTAAATCCTAACCTTTATGCCTGTGGCTATAACCTCATCTCGGAATGGGTTTTCTTTGTCATGTTGATGACATGGGGTTAGTATAAAGTGTGTCTTGAGCCAGTCTCTTTTTGAGATATGAAGAGATTAGACAGGTAAGCAATAGAAACAGAACTGGGGGAAGTCACACTAATCTAGAAGACCCCCCCACGAACAGAAGCTCAGAAGAGACAAGAATCTTACCCCAGAACCAACAAGGAAAGACTTCTCCTAGAGCCAGAACCCTGAATTTGGATTTCTAGTTTCTTAAACTGTGAGAAAATAAATTTCTGTTTGGTACGGCTTAAGTTGGTGGTTCAAACCCACTAACTACTCCTCAAAAATCTTATACAGGCTCATTATGAGTAGGAACCGATTGGACAGCACTTAACACTAATACCTGTGGTTATAAGGCCATTTCAGAATGGTTTGTTTTTGTTTTATTAAACGGACAATTAGTATAGGGTGTGTTTTGAGATATTAAAGAGATTAAAGCAATAAAAAAATAGAGTTGGGGGAAGGCTGATACCCAAGTCACTTGGAGACGGCCAAGGAACCAGGAAATAAGCCAAAGAGACCAGGCCCGTCCTGCAGACTTCACAGAAAGAAAACGCCTTCTCTAAGAACTGGTGCCCTAAATTCCCGTTTGTTAAAGCCACTCACTTTGTGGTATTTCTGTCAGAGCAACGCTGGCGAACCCAGACATTCATACAACTGCTGCATGTATCAACGAAAGTCATGGCTGAAGTGTGAGACCAGTGGTCAGGGAGCCCTGGGCACCGTCCTGCTCTGCAGGTGGTCGTTTGTAATGTCTCCACAGCTCCGGAGCCTCCTGCCACTGTAGTTTAACCTGGACTTACTCACAAGGAAGGTAGTTGACCAGTACCCAGGATGCACAGGGGTATCCTGTCAATGTCAGTTCCTGCCTCACAGGGCTCAGTGCATCTGTCATAGACCTGAGCCATATCAGAGATGCTGTGTGAAGGGCTTCCAGTGGCCAGGAAGACTGAGAAGGAGGCAGTCAAATTCCACTTGAAGCAGAGAAGGGAGACCAGCCCCACTTGAGTGACTAGCCATTTAGCTGGCTTCTCCAACCTTTGTCTTTGCACCTAGAAGAGGGGCCGGTGTACTTTTTGTCAAGAGCCAGGAAGTAGAAATCTTAGAGTTGGTGGGTCATATGGCCTCTGTCATAGCTGCTCAGCTCTGCTGCAGTCGACCCAAAGCAGCCACCAACAGTGTGTAAATGAACGTGCCTGACTGTCTCAGGGAAATGTTCTTCACAGTTACACCATGTGCCAGATTGGGCCCGCAGGCTGAGGTTTGCCACCCTCTGGTCTTTAAGAAGACATTTGCTTACTTGTGTGTCCTTGGAAACTTGTTTGTTCTCTGTGCCCAGGGTTTGTCTCTGCCAGTCCCAGTTGTGGTTGGCAGGCTCTGTTCTGAATAAGCAGGTCTCCTGCAGTGAGCCTTGATGGACAGACAGAGATGTGGAAAGCATCCTCTTGAGGGTCCCCGGGTTTACCAGCTCCCCCCCTCATCCTCCCGCTGCTTTTTGCCTCTTCAACTAAGGGAGAGGTGCAGGTGCAGGTACTGACTCTGGGCTTGTAGCCCAAGGAAGCCTCCTGGATTTAGGGTGTAGCTGCCTGCTCACTGGCTGACAAGTTCATGCAGATGCGGGCCTGAGACCTGTGTCCTTCTTGCCCCTGTCTGCAGGCACACCCTGAGGTTCTGGAATGCCGCCTTTTTTGATGCTGTCCACTGTGAGAGGAGAAAGCGGTCTCCCACTACCAGGTAGGTAGGAGCCCAGTGCAGCAAGAGGACCCGAGAGTGGCTCTGCTTTCCTGTTTCTGAAGAGGAAACAGCTCAACAGCTGAGTCGATGTGTACCTGTTTTCCTTCAGCCCCTTCTAGGCCCAACGCCCTGCAGGCTGCCTGAGGGTCCTGGGAGAACACAGTTGGGTGGGTGGGTGGGGGAATCACCTGCATGAACGCTTTCTGCCCTGGCCACTGGCATGACTTGGCCTGACCCTCCTGGAAAATGCCACCAGAGCCTCCCTGCCCCTGCCTACTGCTTACTCTCTGTATGAGGCGGCCCCTGAAGCAGAGCAGGACCAGGTAGGGGAGAAGGACGTTGCTGTCCCAGTGGAAATGCTCCCTTCAGCCTTGCTGGGGGGCATCTGGCCATGTACAAACACCCTTTCATAAGTCCTCTCCAAAAAGCACATGGTAGCAGGTAGGGACTTGCCCTTGATGCCCATGGGCACTCTCTCTGGCTGTGGCAAGGTGAGATATTGCCCACTGCAAGGGGGTAGCAACCCCCAGGGTAGGGGACAACCAGACTGGGTCCCGTCCTTAGTCCCACCTGCCGTGTGACTTTAAAGAGTTTTGGAACTTCGCAGAGTTTCCCCATTAATAAAACGAAGCCCCTCCTCCAACACAGGAGATTCCTTCAACTCTCCTGCCTTCCCCAGCAGGAGAGAAAATATAAGGACCCTAGGAGTGAGTGTCTAAGTGAATGCTTTCATTGGAGGTGGGGTGGGGACCGATGAGGACTGAGGGTGGGAACTGTGCCCTTTGGGATGTAAAGAAACATCCAGAAATGCTTCTAGGCTTCCAGGCCCCAGGGTTGCTCTTGTGTGATGCTCCCGCCTCTAGCCAATGAATTTCCTGCTGACTCTGGCCTCCCTCTGTCTCCCCTGCCCAGGGGTCCTGGCCCTTTCACTGTTCTCTTTTCCATCCACATATCTTGCATGACTTTGACCTGTTCTCTGTTTACCTGTTTCTGCTGCCGCTCCAGAGGGAAGGCTGGAGAGGAGGAGGAGAAGAGGTGTGTGGTGTCCCCGTGACTTTGTCCCATGTTACCGTGCTGTGGGGTCACTTGAGGGCCACAGAGGGTGGGGTAGCTCGAGGGAGCCTGAGCCTGGGCATTCCGTGCATCTGATGGTGACAGCAGGGTGGGCACACCCCAAGGCTGGGGCACCTGGAAATAGAAACCACAGATGACTCCCAGAGATCTCACAGGACACTCAGGGCACCTCTGGGGCAAGAGTGACAGTGGAGGGTCTGTTTCAGGTTTGAGTGAGTCAGGGCCTCATCTAGCCCCTCCCACCCTCCTACCCCTCCAGGAGTCCTTGTTGCCACACCTCAGCCTCTGTAATCTATACTCAGTCAGGGGGGAGCCAGGGGAATGGGGGAGCCACAGTGATGAGGGAGGGGGAGCCACAGTGATGGGGGAGGGGGAGCCACAGTG